CAGACCAGGTCCAGTCCAGCACACTGTTCATTTTACAGGCTGTCAATTATGAGGTCAATAAAACCTTTTTATTATTTAGCTCACTGTTCTTACGTTTGGCTAACATTTACAAAATGTTGAATTTAAATGTTAAAACATATATTTAAATATTAAATCCTAAATCTAAATGTTTAAATCTTAATGTAAAAATTAAACCTTTAATGTGGAAGCTCACATTTAGGTGTTTTGGAATGGAACGCAGCCTTTACTGTTGGTGCTCGGCTCATGTTATGATGTCATCATCCTGAGACAATTGCAACCGSTASCGCTCTAATGCAGCTAAGACATCAAACTTGCAGTTATGGCTGGTGTTTTRTACTAAAATTTTACACTTTACATACAAGCTCTGGGATGTGTCAACTTTATATGTTGACTTTTGAATCACRGACTTAAACAATCATGGGTCATGAAATCTTCATACTGTGGAACACATCTGGGAAGCTCAGAGTATACATATCCACTGTTTCTGATTTCTTTTATTTACTACCTCAGAATGAAGTAATCTGTCGTATCTGGTAGTTCTTTATTCCATTTTTATTTTGGAAAATCCACAGCAGTTCTTCGAGTGAATGCTGCCCTCTATTCCGGAGTTTTAGACTAAAATCATCTTATGTTGACTGGAGTTTATTTATAAAAGCAGAACAACTATACACAAAAAAAAACAAAACAAAAAAAAAAAAACCACACAATCAAATGAAATGAATGATGATGAATGATCAAAAATCAAATAAAATGAAAGGTAGAAGAAGATTAAAACTAATATCTGCCCCTTTTATCCCCAGAATATGTTCAAACCAAAGAAATTTACACAAAAAAGCTAAATTAAAACGTCACCTCATTTGCATTTCCATTTTCCATCAGAAAACTAACTTTTATCCTTCTCTTAAAAATGTGCATTTTCAAACTCTTCCTCCAGACCATTCTACAACCCAATTCCCTGGATTAAAGTACACCGTTCTTTCAAACTAGTACAAAACCAAGGCTTCACAAACATCTCTATACCTTTAAGAAAATAACCACTCTCCCTTTTAAAAGGGATCCTCGATTAGTTGTAACATTAGACTTTATTTGATAAACATATACTTTAACTGTAAAATAAAGACTGTAAAAATACTGTAGGATGTTTAGTTTTGTACATTTTTTAAAATATATTTTAACACGGACAACCCTTTTTATTTACATGCAAAGCATTCTGGGTAAATGATGACGTGGATAGGTCCTCGGTGCGAGGCTGCTAGCGAGCTATATCCACCCTGAAGTTTAATCTTGGACAATAT